TGTCTTAACACATGAACAGGATCACACGATCCAAAAAAACAGGGGTTACACAGGTTCGACGGCATTCAGCCGCCCAGACTCATAGGGTTTTCACTTGGCACATGACCAAGGAGGGTAAACAAGAGAAAAACAGGGAGAACTGTACCAGTTGTAGCTATTTTTTGTCCAGAATCAGATTTCTGCTCCGCCCAGGTTCTACTAGACTATTTGATCTGTTCTCTGGGTTGATCGATCTGCTCTCTTTAATCAGTATTCCCACTCTGATACCATCTTGACAATGTGGCCAACCAGAAATAAGAGGAAGAGAAGAGAAGAGAAGAGGAAAAGAAGAGAAGAGAAGAGAGGAGGGAAGAAAGAAGGGTTTTGCAATGTAGCAGTGCTGGTGGCGCCAGCCTTTATTTTAATATATATAGGGTGGCAGAAATAACAAGGGAAAAGACCCTTGTGCCCCTGAGTACAATAACAGACATAACAGAAAGAAAAAACGAAATAAAAAACACTTTAATTAGCCAAACAGGCCCTAACATCTGCAATTAATAGAATGTACTCCTCGACAACTATGCAGCCCCTAGTGTTAGGGCAAGGCTTTGTTGACTTGAGTGTGCTTTAAAAAAAGCACCCCATTTGAATTCATTATTTATAGTATTCATTGTTTATTTTCCATATTAATTGTCAATATGGAAAGTAGTTTATTAGTATGGGAAGCTCCTTGTAGTTCAAGTCTATTGGTTGTTAATTTCTTGGATGCTTTTAGGAGTCCTACATTTTCTTTTCATCCTTCAAATATTTTTGAGAAGGCTAGCCAAAACAAGTCTATATATGGGTGTTTCTTTTTCAAATGGTGGAATTTATGATGACCTCATTGGGAATACTTGAGTAGTTTCTATATAGTTAGTAACCTAGAGGGGAGGTTCTTTGTTCTTTGGTGCATTCCCTTACTAGAATAAGAAAGAAGAAACAAGAATTATATTGAGGATCAAAGCACCCTGCATTGGATTGAGTAATTGTACATTAATTGGCAGAGAGAAACAAGGGGGCTGGCTCTTACATTTCTCATTTGGGGTGGGTGATATATCCCCTCATGTCCATTGGTACTTTTTATTATTATTCATTTTAAATGAAACTTCAGACCAATTAACAATCAAAAACACTATTGCAAAGAAGCAATTGCAAAAGTGCCAAAGCTTGACAGTTGGAAAAATGAAAAGAAGAAAACAACAATGTACCTTTGTTTTATTGTCCCATAGAACCTATAATAATCAGGAAAACCTTGTAGCCTAGCACACTCACGTATAGTAAGGACTCGATCTTGCTCAGGATGTAAAGTTGCCTAAGAAAATCAACAAGGTTAAACCAAGACCGAGATAAATACCAAGTAATCATGAATAAAACTACAATAATAAAATACCTGGAAACGAGGATCTATTGTCGTCAATACAGTGGGTACTGTCTCATCCCACCATAGTCGTGCAAAAGGTCTGTATAACAAAACAGGCGTTTCATCATCTTCTAATCATCATTACAATAGAAATCTACTGAATTAAAAAATATGAAAGAAAAGTAGTTTCTTGAAGAGAGAAGGAAGAGAGAAGGAAAAGAAGAGAAGAAGAGAAGTTGAAAAGAGAGCAATGATTTAGCCGCCCCCTTCACTTATTATTTATACTAAAAATAATAGAATAATACAAAGACAACTATACCCTTATAGGGTGGCAAAACATAAAACAACATATATAACACTCAAAAACATAATAAAATTTGGACTCACATAACTATTGTGGTCCCCACCTCCTATCTATCAACTAACATAAAACATCTACTCAGAAAAACATCATAAAACTGATTAATCTTCAACACTCCCTCTCAATTTGGGAGTAAATGTCACACATTCCCAACTTGCRTAGATCATGTTCAAGCTTGTTCTTTGCCACCCCTTTACTGAGAGCATCAGCCAGCTGCAACTCTGAAGAGACATAAGGCAAACAAACTTCTCCGGTTGTTACCCTTTCTCTTATAAAGTGTCTATCAACTTCAAGGTGCTTTGTCCTATCATGTTGAATTGGATTGTGGGTAATATTGATTGCAGCCTGATTGTCACAATATAACATCATAGGTTCCTCTGCTTTCACCCCAATCTCATTCAAAAAAGATCTAACCCAAAGAAGTTCTGAGACACCATGAGCCATGGATCTATACTCAGCCTTTGCACTTGACCTTGCCACAACCACTTCCTTCTTACTCTTCCAAGAGATGAAGTTTCCACCTACAAAGGTACACACTCCTAATGTAGAACTCCTATCATCTAAGCATCTTGCCCAGTTTGCATCTGTATAGGATTCTAGCTTCAGATTCYCATGATTTGAGAAAAGAATGTCTCTACCAGGGTGCTTTTTCAGATATGCAAGTATTCTCTCAATAGCTTCCCAGTGCTGAACCCGAGTACTGACTCACAACACTGACAACATAAGAAATATCTGGTCGTGTCATACACAAATACAGCAGTTGGCCCACCATTCTTTGATGTCTCCCCGCATCCTTTACCAACTCACCACTCACCATCCACACCATTAATTCTATGATTTGGATCAATAAGAGTGTTTGCTGGTTTGGTCCCCAACTTCCCAGTCTCCCGCAGTAGGTCAAGTACATACTTTCTTTGTGAAATGAAGATCCCATGCTTGGATCTTGCAACTTCAATCCCCAAGAAGAATTTGAGCTCACCAAGATCTTTGATCTCAAATTCTTGCTGCAGTGATTTTTTGAGATCATCAATCTCCTCCAGATCATTTCCTGTCACCACTATATCATCCACATACACAATCATAATTGACACTAGAGCATCTCTCCTCTTCACAAAGAGGGTGTGATCAAACTATGTCTGTGTGTATCCAAAACGGAGTGCAATGGGAAGATCAAGGTCAGTGGGATCAGCTGCAACAATGGTGTTAGGGGCAGGAACATTATCATCAGAAAACATAACATGCTCAAGAGGAATACCTGGAACTGTATCTGCTGAATCTGGAGTTTCAGAAGGACTGATAGAGAGTGGTGTGGGTAGAGGATGTGTGGAGTCAACCATCACCTACCGGTGCTGATATTTTTGTGAGGCTGCCCGTAGTGGCTCAGGTAATGAAACTGGAGGTACAAGTGCTGGCTGAACTGATGGAGGCACCAAAGAAACAGGAAGAGGAACAAATTGTGAGTTCTCCTCCCCAAAACTCTCCCTCTGAGGAAGAAGGTAACATCCATAGTGACAAATCTACTCCTCGTCACTAGGTCATAACAGCAATACCCCTTTTGGTTCTGAGCATACCCAAGAAAAACACATTTCTTGGCCTTAGGATCCAATTTCTTGCGATGAGGGCCAAGAATGTGAACAAAGGAAACACAACCAAAAACCCTCAGAGGTATATGAAATATCTCCCCATCTGGAAAAAGAAGACTAAATGGCACCTTAAACCCCAAAGTCCGTAAAGGA